AAAACGGCACTTGGACTCGACTGGCTCTCCTGGCTGGTTGTATGCTGTCCAATTCAAATCTCTGTCCATCTATTCTGCATTCCCTTGTGTACACAATATACCCTTCCCACTACTCTGGCCTCAACCGACTTCTTCTCTACTAAGTAACTATGGTCTGAAGATCGCAGTTGCTGGGTTTGACTCACTTAACCCCCTGCGATAGGTCCCTCAGGTTTTTCTGTCTGCTTTTTCGTTGATATACCGGTTTTGAAAGTTCAACTTTTTATTCTGGGCCTTTTAACTGGTACCTAGGCTGCTAGTATGCTAGGTTACAAAAAAGAATCTTTCGCAAAATAAGGAATATTCAGAGAAATTTCTGTATGGATGTAATTGACTTTTTGTTAACTAGTTTCTGTGGTATAGCCTATTCGCGTCCTCGAATGTCTTCGTGCTATGCTCCGTTTAATTTTTCACAAAAATATCTTAAAGACGATTGAGGTTCATGCTTGCAGTTGCGTGCATTCTTGGAGACTTGATCATATTCAGGTTGCAGTAAAAGTGTTTCCTGCTTTTAATTGCAGGAGGTTGTCAGCTGGAATGTCAATGCGTAATCCTGAATCGAATGGATTTTTTGTGTATCACTTGTAATAAGTCGCCAATTACACAATGCCTGATAATGGACATTGCGTTTTCGAACAGTTACGAACTATTAAGTTGCGTCAAGTGTTGGCGTTTAACCTGCAACGCATGAAGTGTTCAATTACGGCTGAAGAATACAAAAAGTAGGTTACATTGCAACCTTATCAGTCACACTTAAAGCAAGTTATGATCCCCAAGGGGCTTTCCTAAGATGGATCTCACATTTTTGAGCACTATAGGCTTCTGGTAGTCTATTTTGGCCAATAGAAGCTTATGTAGTCCCCGCATTAATCCATACTCCCAGCATGTTGGCCTATGAAAAAGGGGGTTATAGGGTTTTAGGGGTGGGGAGGTAGGACACGCAGTGAAATACACTTTAATAACTGCTATATGCATTTTAACTTTATTGTATCTAGAAGTGTTGTTAATTTATATCTGTAGATTTTCCTAATCTATATTATCGTTTACCGTATTGCGAAAAAACCCGATTATGGAACTGGAGGTTTTTGTAGTATTATTAGTATAGTCCACCGCGTGAAACGCCACGCACACCTTTAATGTACATGCGGAACAACGTAGGGGCCACAGGAAACAAATTAAACTACACTGTTACACTTGACACTTACTTAAAAAATAATTTCCTTCCTTGCCTATCGTAGTTACTTCCCCCAAAAACCTTATAACCATCGTCTTTGTAGGACAAAATGCTGGTACTAGGGGTATATGAGAGGGACTACATAAAGAAATCTTGCCCTATTTTATAAACGGTTGCCGTGGGTATTTCACTCCCTCAGTTAGGTAGTTCAAAAAACTTTGCCCTGGCAAATTAAAAGATATTGTCTCCTGTGCTCCTGAATACAACTGTCAAATTATGTCACCTTTACTAAAACAGTTTTTTTTGTAAATAAGCTTGGGGCGCCATTTGTTTGGTTTCTTACATTTGCCAGAAGAAAGGGCCTGTTTTTATGATTTAGAGGGGCCTCTTATCTTTTTCAGCAACCATGCAAGAACTGCCGTAAATCGAATTTATACTGTTAAAACCAAACGTGTTTTGCACATACCTTGCAGACTTGGAATACTTTTTAAGTTTTTCATCTGCCCCCATTTTTGTAGACTCTGGCTCCGCCGACACACCGATAGCTCGTTGCCTCGGAAGCTCATCCTGTCTAATACAGTCCAGTTCATGCGACCGGTCTCCACGTTCAGCCGACTTCCGATCTAACACCGTCTGATACCTATTCAGTTCTGTTTGCAGGGTAGCAATCTCCCCGGTCTTGAAGGTGAGCTGATTTTGTAACTCCACAATTAGCTCCTCATTTGCCTGATTTGGAGTCTTTGCCGGCGTACCAACTGTGGATTTTTTCATAAAGGCTGGCATAATTTGACGTATTCTTTGCATAAAGGGAGTTTGAGGAGGTTTCTCTGGAACGGCCGGGGCGGAGGTAGCGGCATTTTCAGCCGATGCAGCACTGCTCAGCATTGCTTTTCGTCAGAGAGGAGAGTGGCGGTCTCTGGATGGAATTTGTCGTACAGACACCTCTCCCCCCTCCGCTCTAAATCAGACCAATCAGAATGCAGGCTGAGCAGTGGTCACGTTCTGTTTGTGTACAGAGAAGAAGACCAAGAAGCGTCTGAGATGCCTTCACTGGCGAAAAGTGCAGCGCACTTTAGCTAGGTAACTCGAACGATGCGTGCACGCACCCGCGCGAACTTCCGTGTTGTCGTGACCTAATTTTGCCGCTCAGGGTATGATTAGTGATCAGAGTGAAAAGTAGATACCGAAGCCACACAAAGGCTGGTGTTGACATTAATTAGGAGGGGGTTGTTGATTACTGCTCTGCAGCTTCTTACCACCATCTGTGAAAGCTGCACCTGGAGCGCTGAAACAGACGAAACTGTCCAAACTGCGCTTTGAAAACGAGTGAACTTCACTACAGACACAGACGATAAACGGGCTCAATTGGCAGAAGGTTTACCCGGAAGCCTGATTAGCTACCTGGACCAAGTCCATAGCTTTGGATTCCCTGATGGCTTGGATTTGAAAAAAAACTCTGGATTTTGTCTACATCACGAAAACCGTTTAGTCTGCGTGTGCAGATTGCTAAGTCAATATACATATTTCAGGAGGTAAATTGGCGAAGATACGTTTTGTTTTGATACAATCCTTGTCCGGCTTTTACATGCATATGGTCATTAAGTAAATAAACTGTGCGGGTTAGTTAACAAGTAGTGCGGTTGTCAGGGGAGGTGGGGGGAGCGGGATCGGGGTCAGAAATCTGATCGGCGTTAGGGGAGTCTGGTAGCCGAGCGAGATGATAAGCTGTTGGTTGTTGGATTAGCGGGTTTCGGCCGTGGTAACTGCGGTTCCGCGAAGGAGATCTTCTGGACACATAGGACCAGTCGGCATAGCCTGATGGCATCCACTTTTGCCGTAGCCATCTGACACTGTCAAAAGAATTTTAAATAGCTTGAGGGCACCTTGTAGATCATTCCGAAGACCTCGTTAACCTTAAAACATATGGCCGTACAACGATGTCGGAGAAACCGCGAGATAACTCCGGATGTGAATGATCAAGCACGCAGCGGTGGTGAAAAAGAAGGATGCTGACTCCCAGGTTGCAACTCATTCGACGGAACCCGGCCATATTTTTAAGTTTAACGGGACCGAACTACTTGCAACACGTGACAACCGCGTGAACCACCAACTGCTTGAGTCATGGTTCTCAGGCCCACCGTCCATCAACAAGCGCACCGACCTACCGTTACTGCGTACGTCACGTGAGGAGGGATCATAATTATTGCGCAATTAGTAAGCCCGCATCCGACAAGGACAAAGAAATCGCGACAACTAGTGACTCGAAAGCGCACTATCAAGCCCTGATCGCACCAATTAAGATCACAAGCGCTGAGTACAACAGCTATTCATTATAGTACGCATGCGGATGACCACTACGATCTTAAAATACTGTTCAATCTGTGCATGTACTACTCCCATCTGCGCATGTCTCAGACTCTCTTGCAGTAACCTATGATTAAGCATACTGAACAGCATCCGAAACGTCAGGAAAATAAAACCCTTGTTCCAGCTGTCGTATCTTCTTCTTCTGAGCAATATTACGTTTAAGTGGACATTATGAACCAGTGAGCAATGTGCCTAAAGGCAGCAAAACGGTAAATACCAGCTGCCTTTAAAAGCTGTGGGGATAAATGGGGAGGAAATGTACCGACGAAAAATGATTTTCCTCTGAAGACTACTCTTTGACCTGAGTAGACGTTACTGACATGGACAGCACACTTGAGAACAATAAAGGCACCTTACGCATCCTTTCTGATTGCAAAAACTAATTAGTCACATTTAACACAAACATCCTCATTAGCCGATGCCGTTATAAGTATGTAGTTCTGTTTCTAGTGTCAGCTCGGTAAGAGCGCCGCCATTAGTTCATTAAACCATTTCTTGTTCCAGTGATCACATAATCTTCTTCTGAACAGCTTCCCGGGACTCGCAGATTCGCTACTATCGGTACCCCTTTTGTTTGACTCTGCATCAGGCTTCGCATTAGGGATCATCTTCAGAGACAATGCAATTGCAACAGAATTGACATGCTTTTGTCGTTCATCTGCGAGAAACGATCGGAAAGGCGGAACGGGTTGGAATATTGAAAATTTTGAGTCCGGCCGTCTCACTGCATGCGTCCTTGGGTAAGAACTGGGCCACACCTATCTGCGCGCGAACAAAGGACTTGCTAGCAGGCATGTCTATCAACATGTTTGTTAGCGGAGTTGTAATCAGATAGACTTTCATTAGTTCTTATCCGTCTTATTACTGGCTTACGTCAGTATTCACGTACCCTTAAATTAAATTCGAGGCCTACCTCCAGGGTGTTCGCAGCGACTCGAGGCAGTGAGTCCTCTCTCCGCTCTGCCAGTTTGTGTTCCGATATTCGTGAGGTACGTTGTCAGTCCCTCCGCACTAGCAAGAACAGATGCGTCTAGCACTTGATAAACAATACCAATACAATGCATCCAGTCGGCTGTTTAATTGCATTATCCGCAAACGCATGGTAGCTGTCGGGCGATGAGCAATACCCACACCAAGGTATGCAGCGATACGTTGCGAAGCTTGCCACCCATTCTTTATGTACGTTTGACGGTGCCAGAATGGTGGTGGCTCCTCTTTGTTCGTTTCCCATGGGCAGATGCAAAGGAAGCTGCTGTCGAAGCTCTTTAGGCAAACCTTACTTGCCACTTTGTCCCAAATGTGCCATAGTTATCACACTCATCCCTTAAGTTTATTTCTTGGTGTTTCTATCCTTTAAATTAAAGCTCTAGTACAATCCCGTTTACGTACCGTTGGGTTGTTGCTATCGCAGTTGAGCAGCTGAATTGTGTTAGTGGAATTTCTATACATCAGGCTGTTGATTTCTGTATTAGCTCTACGTGTGACAAGGATTTCAAGGAATGACAATTGTTTCACTTGAGCAGAAGGAGAAGACTTGATCGCTGGGACAACACATTTATTTGTCTGACGTTTCGACATTCGTCGCGAATTCATCACCAGAGACATGAGTAGGACACAGCAGCAGTAGCAGCGTAAGATACAAGCCCGCGCTGAACACGGAGGCTGCGAGACGCGTAATGTTTCAAACCGGCAACAGAATGGTCCGTTTGTTCATTCAAGATTGCCGCGCGAGGCTACGTAAAAACCGCCAGATAACTGACCGTGAGAAGACTAAAAGCTGTGAGCTCATGGGTGAGGACAGCACAAAACTGCTTCTGCAGTGAGTGCTTGAACGAGCCCGTGACAAACAAGCAATCCATGAAGCGGCATTGGAGAACAAATTCCACAAACTGCATCATCCAACGTCATCCAGAAACGACGTAATGGTACAAAACCTGTCGTCGAAAGAACTGACGAAGGAGCAAATACAGGTTCAACGGCACGAAGCCTCATTCAACACGGCTGATGCTAAACCTGCTTACATGATTGCAGCTGTGGAATCAGTCATCAATCAGACATAAGCAACGGAAAAGGCGTAGAACCTTATTCGGCACCAGGTAGCGTCCCTCCTGATTGCTCATCAACGCCGGAAGTGCTCCCCAAGTTTAAACGCATTGCATTAAGAGAACTCAGAGCCGATCGGGACATCGCCATCGTGACAGCCGAGAAGGGACGTTCTACGGTCATATTGGACAGAACCGACAACCTTCAGAAGGCGAAAAACTTACTGGAGGATCGTCAGTTTTACGTTCCTTGTGAAACCAATCCCATCAAAAAGCTGACACGCGAAATCAATTCGACCCTGATGGCTCTATAGAACTCGGGTGCAATAACGCCGTCTGATCGACGCATGGTGAGGGCACAAGAAACGGTCTTGGCCCGCTTCTACGGCCTCCCCAAAGTGCACAAGGAAGGCGCTCCTCTCTGGCCTATCGTATCACTAAAAAAAACGGTTTCACTTTACCTTACACCTTTGTGAATTGAATGTCCAGACAGGTGGAGGGGACAACCTCTTCGGGACGAGCATTCTGTGGCAGCCTGCACTCTATTACTGCGTTGACTCATCCCACTTAGCTAGCCAATTCCTTGTGTTTACGCTGTAATAAACTCCCACGCTTCGTTAACCGCTGCGAGAGCTCCGCGATGTATTGCCCTTCCTACGATCCTATCGGCGACTCGCGTTATGGGGCGCACGATACCTTATACCAACCAAAGTGCGCTGTGCCACTTAGATGGTTAAGGACGCACTCCGCACTCAGGGCTTTGCAGCAGCCGACACCACTTCACGGTCAAATCTGGCGTGCAGATGAAGCTGACAGCTGACTCGTAACATTAAATTTGTACTCTTCATTTTACCGCAGTAAAATTTGTCCACCAACCCCATCTCCCCTGAGTTTTATTTGATTTGCATATTGCTACTAGCTTTTTGTAAGTAATGTTTATTTATGAAATTGTTTAAGTCGGCCTCATCACATCTATTCATTTCCGCCACGTCGCCCATCAACGGACTGTTGACGATGGCCGCGGGTTCTCCTTTTCTACCCACCGTGCTGACAGACGCGGAA